GGTTCCGGGTTTGGGTGTAGGGTTCCGGGTTTCCGGGTGCAAGGGTTGAGGGTTTAGGGGGCTTCAGGGATTCAGGGGGTTTGGGGGTTGAAGGGGGTGTTTGTTCAGGGGTTGAGAGGTTGATGGGTTGAGGGTTTTGGGGGTTTGGGTGTTTGGGGGGTTAAGGATTGGGATGCTCCCGCATATACCAACAGTCCTTTCTAAGGATTGTAATTGGGGGGGGGGGGGGACTATAATCAGGACTGTTAGTATAGGGGGGGGAACATCCCAAGTTAAGGATTTGTTGATTTGTTCTGGACTTTGTTGTGAAAGCGCTCTTGCTTAAGTCTTCCAGGCTGACTTCACCACAATAGGTTTATCTTCGTGAGCTCGCTGTGACAGAGTCTGCCTACAACAGCTGCAGCCAAGTTCAGGATAGAAAAAAACATCGATTGAGCCGGCCGCTTCTGAAGCCAGAGGCCCTGTATGAAGTCTTGTTCATCATGATGACTACTCTTTATGTTTTCTTCTTGTCTTGGCCTTCCTTGTTTTCTGTGGTCATTGTTTTTGTTAGCCGTGTTCTTTATATGCTTCTTGTTCTTCTTGATCTTGCGGCATATAAGCATCTTTAGAGGTTGAAGCGATGGGAGGTGTGGCTACCGGTTATCCAGGCACTTTCTGGTTGTCTATCAACAATTTGGTTTCGGGGCTCGAGGGTTTCGGGGTCCGGGCTACGGGGTTGTGTGCAGTCCGCGAAGAAATTAAGACCTGCGGAAGGATGGCTGGTTGGAAGGGCTCGGGGTTTAGGGTTTAGGGTTTAGGGTTTAGGGTTTAGGGTTTAGGGTTTAGGGTTTAGGGTTTAGGGTTAAGGGTTAAGGGTTTAGGGTTTAGGGTTTAGGGTTTAGGGTTTAGGGTTTAGGGTTTAGGGTTTAGGGTTTAGGGTTAGGGTTAAGGGTTTAGGGTTTAGGGTTTAGGGTTTAGGGTTTAGAGGGAGCCAAGGTACATGAACTGCGAGTTGGCATAGGCAGAGGCAGCCACTGAGCACCTGTGCCAGGCGAGAGCGACGTCACGGTCGCTGTGAGGCGGCACCTGGGAATGTTCTGGCGCCCTAAACCCTAAACCCTAAACCCTGAACCCTGAACCCTGAACCCCAAACCCTAAACCCTGAACCCTGAACCCTGAACCCTTAACCCTAAACCCAAACCCTAAACTCTCCTTTAAAACCTTTCAGCCTACACTTGCCCAGATTCAAGCTGTGCTCCGCTCTTGCAACTTACCGTGCCTCCCCGGAGCTCGACTAGAAAGACAGCCTGTTGTAGGGTTTGGGGTTTAGGGTTAGGGTTTAGGGATTACGGTTTAGGGTTTAGGGTATAGGGTTTAGGGTTTAGGGTGGGATAAAGATGCCCTTGGAAAGGACCTCTAAACCCCCTGAACCCCTAAGAGCCCTAAACCCCCAAAACCGCTCAACACAACCCTAAACCACCTAAACCCCCTAAAAACCCCCAAAGCCCCCGAAAACCCGTAAACCTCCGAAAATAATTTTTTGCCTTTCCACACCAGGTTGTCAGGTTGTCCTTACGGGTTAGGGTTTGGGGTTTAGGGTTCAGGGTTGAGGGTTGAGGGTTCAGGGTTCAGGGTTTTCCGGCCCCCCGGAAAGCAAATCCTAAACTCTAAACCCTAAACCCTAAACCCTAAACCCTAAACCCTAAACCCTAAACCGTTGCACCCGACTTTTCTGAACACCGAAGGTGAGTTCGTACTTGGGCAGCCCGCGCATAGCTGCCGGGCCTTCGGTGTTCCTTAAGGACTACTTGGAGGTTCATGGTACTTATGAACGAATTGTACCTGTACTTATGACTGTACCTATAACCCTATTAGGGCACTTAAGGGGCTTATAAGTGAGTTATATGTGCAGTTATAGCTGGTGAATAAGTACCATGAACCTTCAAGTAAGGACCACATGAACCCCAAAAGGGCTTATGGCTCATATACTCTAATCGGGATTCCTAAACCCTAAACCCTAACTTTCGCTGCCCTGCAGGTACAAGGTTTCGTTTGATTGGATGGCATGCGGCACACTCGGGTTGTGATTCTTGTGCATACGCCAGCAACAACAGACCCAGACCTTCACATGCCGGCTCGTCTAGGTTTTAGGCTTTAGGGTTTAGGGTTTAGGGTTTAGGGTCTACAAAAGATATTCTTCCTTATAAGGGTAATGCAGGGTTTCTTCTCTTTCCTTTTTGTTGGGATAGTTAGTATAGTCAGGAGCCCCTCCTTTTGGGGCTTACATGAGCATCGGACGAAATTACTTGTAAGATTCAATCTTGTCTTGACGTTGCATGCCTTGTGCTTGTTTGTTTTCATACTGTTTCTCGAAAATGTGTAGGGGCCCTCCCTGAAGTGACACCCTATAGTCGCAGCGATGCTGTATTATCGGATTCTTGGAAAGGGGGTTCATGGGGGAAGTACCTGGGGAACCTTAGGGAAGCTTAGGGAGCCTTAGGGAGTAGCGGGGAGGATTAGGGAAGCTTTGGCTACGTACGCCCCTTGGAACCCCCTCCCTTAAGAACTCTACAACTGTATTGGTCGGGGTGCCAACCCTCGAGAAGCGACAGGGGCCCACGAAGAATGTTGCGCAACGTGCGACGAACACGCGGTTTTGTCAGCAGCTCACGTGTGGAAGCACCCCGAACACACTGCACTTTCAACCCCTAAACCCTAAACCCTAAACCCTAAACCCTAAACCCTAAACCCTAAACCCTAAACCCTAAACCCTAAACCGCATCTCAACCCTGTATCTGTATCTCACCATGCTGGAATCCTCGAAGCATAAACCGATTGAAAGTGTCTGCGAAACATCCTCCTCGCCCTGCCCACTCTCCTATTGAAACTCGACGCTTCAGGGTCTAGGGCCGAATTATGGAGATCTGAATTCAAAACAACAAGAAGATTGCAAAGCTAACGACAGCAATGAGGGTAAGACTTCAAGAGTCGTATCGGTGGTCAAACTCGTACAACAGGAACTTAACAAGCGCAACCCTCCCAACGCAATGTCCTTGAGCCAGAGAGAAGGTCTTATCTGTGCTGGAAAACCAGGCGTCTGAGATGCAAATCAAAACTCCTCGCATAACCATGGGCCTATAGTGTTTAGGGTTTTGGGTTGAGGGTTTAGGGTTTAGGGTTTAGCGTTTAGGGTAACTTATCTGCTGCCACTGCAGTCCTAAAACAACATGAAAAGTCCACCAAGAGATGGCTCAACCCTAAACCCTAAACCCTAAACCCTAAACCCTAAACCCAGAGACATCAATGGGGTTTGGGGTCCTCGGAGTCGGACGAAGAAGCTCTATAGGGCTCCGGGGCATAAGAGCCGTAGATCCCAAACCCTAAAACCCTAAACCCCAAAAGCCCTAAAACCCTAAAACCCTAAACCCTAAACCCCAAACCCTAAACCCTAAACCCTAAACCCCTAAACCCTCAAACCCTGAAACCCGCAACCCAACTTGGCAGCCCAGCGGTACCCTTTTGACGCCTTTTTTCTGGTTCTAATATCCTTACAAAGGAGCCAACCCCCAAAGAAGGGTTTCCTCCTGATTTTAAGATGGTTAAGGGTTTAGGGTTTAGGGCTACTAGGCTACCAAGCCAAGTAAACATCAAACCCGCAACCCCAAACCTTAAACCCCAAACCCCAACCCCGAAGCCCCAAACCTTAATCCCGAAACCCCAAACCCCAAACCCGAAACCCCAAACCCCAAACCCTAAACCCTAAACCCCAAACCCTAAACCCCAAAACTCCAAACCCCAACAATCAAAAAAACAGAGGAGGTTGCAGATTCCCGAAACCCTAAACTCCAAAACTCCAAACCCTAAACAGTCAAAAAGCAGAGGAGGTTGCAGATTCCCGAAACCCTAAACCCTAAACCCTAAACCCTAAACCCTAAACAGTCAAAAAGGCAGAGGAGGTTGCAGATTCCCGAAACCCCAAACCCTAAACCCTAAACCCTAAACCCCAAACCCTAAACCCCAAACCCCAACAGTCAAAAAGCAGAGCGGAGGTTGCAGGTTCCCTAAACCCCAAACCCCAAACCCCAAACCCCAAACCCCAAACCCCAAACCCCAAACCCCAAACCCCAAACCCTAAACCCTAAACCCTAAACAGTCAAAAAGCAGAGGAGGTTGCAGATTGCATCTGTCATGCCGAAATCTCTTGACCACCCCCGGCGAAGAACGCGATGTGCTCTCTCGAGATGCGATAAAGACTGGCCGGCTGGTTCTTGGTTTAGGGTTTAGGGTTTAGGGCTTAGGGTTTAGGGTTTAGGGTTTAGGGTTTAGGGTTTAGGGTTTAGGGTTTGAGGGAATCAGGTACCCTGAAGATTCCCTTAACGGGTATATATTTAGGGCCCTAATTCCCCTGTAGAAACAACAAAGGGGTCGGACGAATCACTAAACGTATTCCCTCTGTTCCGAAATGCTATTAAACTATAGCAACCCCCAAAATCCTAGTCTGAGAATATTCGGAACACCCCCATTCCAACTACTTCGGCATGTTCAATAGTAACCCTAAACCCTGAACCCTAAACCCTAAAACCTAAACCCTAAACCCTAAACAGGGATTTCTGTGTTTGTCAGCCTGCTACAGGTCTCATGTGGAAATTGAGGAACTTTTGCGCCGAGGGTCGGGGGTGTCAGAGTTTATGGTTGCAGTCAGTGTAGGCTGTGGGGTTGAGGGTTTTAGGGTTCAGGGTTCCTTGCCGAAGGGGCGATCTCGCTCGGTAGTTGCAGCGCTGAGGGGGTTAGATGCAGTCAAGCGTAAGAAAAACATTGGGAAAACCTGAAAGTTTAGAGAGTTTCGAACAAAAATAGGGTACATCATCGTATAGTAGTCGTGTGTATCATGAATCTTTCGAGCCTGTTGATGACCCCACACACCATGTACGTAGGTTTATCGTACGCTTCCACGCCACAAACGCAAACAACAATCAGCATGGCCTTGCTGTGTATAGGCTTAGCTTCAACAAGCAACAATGGCAGAATGGCCGTGGGAGCGATGCATCGCGTTTCCGCTACTCTTTGTCAACAGCAAGACATGGCTATTGGTGAGTTTGCTGTTGCTCAGGCTAGATCTTTTTGTGCCGCCGGCCGACTTTGAGCTTTCCACGAAGAATTCGGACGATGCAGGTTCTTCCAACGACAAAATCGGGACCAACCCGATCTTTGGTGGGATCTGGCGACTGTCGCCCGCTGTCAGGCCACTGGGAGCAGTGATTGCGACCTTGATACTATGGTATGTGATCACCACGTCTGTGGACATGGTCGAAATGGTGGATCAAGCAAGAATGTCCTCGAGGAGGAAGAGTGGAAGTACCATCTGGACGAGCGTCGGCACTTTCGTAGCCACAGCCGGCTGGGCCCTTCGCTGTTGGGCCAAATCTACCCTCGACGACTTGTTCAAATACCAAATTGAGCTTCCGAATCGTCTCATCACTGCAGGACCCTTTCAGTACTTGGTTCATCCAGGATATGCTGGTACCATGGTTCAGATGCTGGGGATCTTTATCTTGTTGGCGGAACCCCTTTCGAATCGCTCGCTGGCCCTGGTCGTGGTGGTTGCGCTCCAGGCAGTCGCCATGGATTCGATGCGAATCCGGGTCTTGGATGAAGAGCAAAGGCTGGCAGAACATTTTGGAGATTCCTGGGCCGCCCACTTGCGAGACCGGTGGAGAGGGGTGATTCTATGGTAAACGCAAGCAAAATGGCCCCAAGGCTCGGCGACATCAAGATGTGGCATGTTCATGCCTCCCCCCTTGGGATCTCCAAGGGGCCCCCAGAAGGAAACTATTGTAGGGTTTAGGGTTTAGGGTTTAGGGTTTAGGGTTTAGGGTTTAGGGTTTAGGGTTTAGGGTTTAGGGTTTTGGACTTCAAGACGCGATTCCCAAGAAAAGCACAGCACTTGCGCGATCAAAGGGCTCTTGTCACAGGGTGTGACGTTTCCACCAACCCTAAACCCTGAACCCTGAACCCTACACCCTAAACCTCCCTGCGTAAGAAAGAAGAAGCAGACGCATTCATTGCTAGCAGTTCCTAAACCCTTAACCCTTAACCCTTAACCCTAAACCCTAAACCTAAATTATGAAGGTTTTAAGGCCCCTAAGGCCCCTACATCAGGGCCTGTGAAAACGATGCCATGAGCTCTGCGTACTCAAGCTGACGGGTTTAGGGTTAAGGGTTTAGGGTTTAGGGTTTAGGGTCCCAAATTTCGGGTCCCTGAAAAACACGCCGAGCCTTTGTGTGGGGTCCCTAAACCCAATCAACCTCTCAATGCACAGCCCCTGAGCCCTAAACCCAAACCCTGAAACCCCAGATCTGTCCAGTACGCTTTGTGGTGTAAGGTTTGGGGGTCCCTAAACCCTAAACCGTAACCCTAAACCCTAAACCCTAAACCCTAAACCCTAAGCCCTAAACCCTAAACCCTAAACCCTAAACCCTAAACCCTAAACCCTAAACCCTAAACCCTAAACCCTAAACCCTAAACCCTAAACCTAGTTAGTTTTAGGGGTTTCGAGGGTTCATAGGGATGAGTGTGTTTGTCTTCAGGTGCCTGCCTGTTTAGTCATGCGCCGGCGGTTTAGGGTTTAGGGTTTAGGGTTTAGGGTTTAGGATTTAGGGTTTAGGGTTTAGGGTTTAGGGTTTAGGGTTCAGGGTTTAGGGTTTAGGGTTTAGTGGTCAAAGCCAAATCTTTCTTTTTTTGCTCCCCAGCGTTTGATGTCCTTCGCGCTAGTTTCACCGCAACTGCGCTTTCATAGGGTCTTCTCTTGAGGTTCTTGCGTTTTTTCGGTTTCAGCCTCTTTTTTTTCTGGGTCGATTTCGTAGGGTTCTGAACCTTTGGGATTTATGATTTGGGGTTTGGGGGTTAGGGTTCTTAGTAGCTGAGTGAATCCACTTTACACGTTTTGGGATGCTACAATCCCTTATAAAACTGAAAGTGTACTCTTTTGGGGGGCTTATGAACTCAGCGGCCAAGGGTTTAGGGTTCACTTAGGGGTACTTGAAATATTTGTTGGGCACTCTAAGTCCTAAGAAGGGTTCCAAGTTCAGGAGAGTTCAGGGTTTAGGGTTTAGGGTTCTGGGTGTATTTGCTAGGGTTCTGAACCTTTGGGATGTATTACTTGGGGTTTGGGGGTTAGGGTTTAGGGTTTAGGGTTTAGGGTTTAGGGTTTAGGGTTTAGGGTTTAGGGTTTAGGGTTTAGGGTTTAGGGTTTAGGGTTTAGGGACGACGTGCTAGTGCCATGGTGGCGGCCACGGCTGCACCGCAGAAGCTCTTGTCATTTCTGGACTCCAGGCGCGGTAGGAAATGCGTCTATAGGGTTTAAGTAGGGTTTAGGGTTTAGGGTTTAGGGTTTAGGGTTTAGGGTTTTCTTGGCAGGGAGGCCGTTCGTTCTTTCTCACAATCAAGGCGTTGAGATGCTTCTGTTCTGCACTTCTGTGGAGCATGAGACTGGTAGTTGTGAGCTGTGAAGATTGCCAGACTGGCACGTAGGACCATGATAATTAGTCGGTTTTGGGCTGGACTCCGTTAGTACAGCTGCAGTCGGAGCCTCTTGGCTTGCGGACGCTTACGGTTTCTGCTTGCGCTGAGGCGGATTAAGGTTTAGGGCTTATGAGGTTATTCAGTTGTTGGCTTGCATTGTTTGGGCGCCTAGCGTCTTTTTCTCAGCCAGTTGTAACTTGTAACCCCTTGCGCGGATTGGCGGGCCGATTCAGCATCGTTGTGTAGCCTGTGTAGAAAACTTCAGACTGCACTGCGACATATTCGATGGGTCATGGACATCTGCTAAAGGACGGGAGGCCCATTGTTGTTGTTGCCTCGCGCCCTACCCAGAGGGAGGCAAAGGCCACATCATCGTTGCCTCCCTCCACACCGGTGGCCGGGTGTGGGGCAGCTATGCTTCTGGCAAGTTACTGGCTGCCCTTGAGGCCAACGCGCCTGTGGCCAGGCGTATGACAGCGGAGCTTTGCGCCAACGTGTCCGCTGGTGGGCAGCCAGCACGTACCTACTCAACGTGCGGAATGCATAGCCCGCACGTACCTACCTCACGTGCGGATTGCAGCACATAGGCAGGGGAGGCCGTTCGTTCTTTCTCGCAATCCTCGACTCGTTGAGGTGCTTCGGTTCTGCGCTTCTGTGGAGCATGAGAATGGTAGTCGTGAGCTGTCTATTAACGCCAGACTGGTGTGGCTCGTACGGTTGTAAGGTTGAGAGGATTCAGGGTGTTCGGTTGTTGAGTTCAGGGTTTTCGGGCTGGACTGCGTTAGCATAGCTACAGTCGGAACTTCTTGGCTTGCCGACGTTTACAGTTTGGTTACTTCCAGGGTTCTCTGCCCCATGAGCTGAGGAGAACTAAGGTTTAGGGCTTATGAGGTTTTCAGTTTTTGGCTTGCATTGTTTGGGCGCTTAGTGTCTTTTTCTCAGCCAGTTGTAACTTGTAACCCCTTGCGCGGATTGGCGGGCCGATTCAGCATCGTTGTGTAGCCTGTGTAGAAAACTTTCGACTGCACTGCGACATATTAGCATCGAAGGGAGGCCCATTGTTGTTGTTGCCTCCGCGCCCTACCCAGAGGGAGGCAAAGGCCACATCATCGTTGCCTCCCTCCACACCGGTGGCCGGGTGTGGGGCAGCTATGCTTCTGGCAAGTTACTGGCTGCCCTTGAGGCCAACGCGCCTGTGGCCAGGCGTATGACAGCGGAGCTTTGCGCCAACGTGTCCGCTGGTGGGCAGCCAGCACGTACCTACTCAACGTGCGGAATGCATAGCCCGCACGTACCTACCTCACGTGCGGATTGCATCACATAGGCAGGGGAGGCCGTTCGTTCTTTCTCGCAATCCTTGACTCGTTGAGGTGCTTCGGTTCTGCGCTTCTGTGGAGCATGAGAATGGTAGTCGTGAGCTGTCTATTGAAGCCAGACTGGTGTGGCTCGTAAGGTTGTAAGGTTGAGAGGATTCAGGGTGTTCGGTTGTTGAGTTCAGGGTTTTTGGGCTGGACTGCGTTAGCATAGCTACAGTCGGAACTTCTTGGCTTGCGGACGTTTACAGTTTGGTTGCTTCCAGGCTTCTCTGACCCATGTGTTGAGGCGGATTAAGGTTTAGGGCTTATGAGGCTTTCAGTTTTTGGCTTGCATTGTTTGGGCGCTCAGTGTCTTTTTCTCAGCGAGTTGTAACTTGTAACCCCTTGCTCGGATTGGCGGGCCGATTCAGCATCGTTGTGTAGCCTGTGGAAAACTTTAGACTGCACTGAGACATATGAGATGCGTCAAGGACATCTGCTAAAGGAAGGGAGGCCCATTGTTGTTGTTGCCTCCGCGCCCTACCCAGAGGGAGGCAAAGGCCACATCATCGTTGTCTCCCTCCACACCGGTGGCCGGGTGTGGGGCAGCTATGCTTCTGGCAAGTTACTGGCTGCCCTTGAGGCCAACGCGCCTGTGGCTAGGCGTATGACAGCGGAGCTTTGCGCCAACGTGTCCGCTGGTGGGCAGCCAGCACGTACCTACTCAACGTGCGGAATGCATAGCCCGCACGTACCTACCTCACGTGCGGATTGCAGCACATAGGCAGGGGAGGCCGTTCGTTCTTTCTCGCAATCCTTGACTCGTTGAGGTGCTTCGGTTCTGCGCTTCTGTGGAGCATGAGAATGGTAGTCGTGAGCTGTCTATTAACGCCAGACTGGTGTGGCTCGTAAGGTTGTAAGGTTGAGAGGATTCAGGGTGTTCGGTTGTTGAGTTCAGGGTTTCGGGCTGGACTGTTAGCATAGCTACAGTCGGAACTTCTTGGCTTGCGGACGTTTACAGTTTGGTTACTTCCAGGGTTCTCTGCCCCATGAGCTGAGGAGAACTAAGGTTTAGGGCTTATGAGGTTTTCAGTTTTTGGCTTGCATTGTTTGGGCGCTTAGTGTCTTTTTCTCAGCCAGTTGTAACTTGTAACCCCTTGCGCGGATTGGCGGGCCGATTCAGCATCGTTGTGTAGCCTGTGTAGAAAACTTTCGACTGCACTGCGACATATTAGCATCGAAGGGAGGCCCATTGTTGTTGTTGCCTCCGCGCCCTACCCAGAGGGAGGCAAAGGCCACATCATCGTTGCCTCCCTCCACACCGGTGGCCGGGTGTGGGGCAGCTATGCTTCTGGCAAGTTACTGGCTGCCCTTGAGGCCAACGCGCCTGTGGCCAGGCGTATGACAGCGGAGCTTTGCGCCAACGTGTCCGCTGGTGGGCAGCCAGCACGTACCTACTCAACGTGCGGAATGCATAGCCCGCACGTACCTACCTCACGTGCGGATTGCATCACATTGGCAGGGGAGGCCGTTCGTTCTTTCTCACAATCGTCGAGTCGTTGAGGTGCTTCTGTTCAGGCCATTCGTTCGCACAACACGGCTTAGTACAAAGCGGGTGCAGGGTAAAGGGCTCTAAGCCCTAAACCCTAAACCCTAAACCCTGAACCCTAAACCCTAAACCCTAAACCCTAAACTATTTGTAGTGCTTCGCATGTCTTTAGTGTTTCCAGCCGCGCAACTGCAGGAGGTGGCAGAGATGCTCCAGCTCGGCGCGGCATCACGGCGGCCTTTGCGTACTCCTTGGGTTTGGGGTTTAGGGTTTAGGGTTTAGGGTTTAGGGTTTAGGGAGAGCACCAGCCAAAGGGTGCATACATAAGTGTAAGATCAATGTGAAGATGCGTGTGCACCCCAACCCAGG